ATCGCGGAGATCGCCCTCGGCGGCGTCGCGAGGGAGACGGAGACGACCACGGCAGGCGGCGGAGACGGGGAGAAGGGGGAACTTCGCGCGCTGCTTCGCACCATCGAGGCGGCCGCGCGGGGGAGTCCGACGCTGCAGGACGTCCGCTGCGGGCTTCGCGCGGCCGACCTCGCCGATCCGCTGCTTCGCGTCGCCACCGAGGAGGCGGAGACGACCGCGGACGAGGGGGGAAATCCCGCAGGCGGGGATGAAATCGCCGAGATCGTCGCGAGGATTCGCGAGCGGCTTCTGTTGAACGCGCTCCTTCAATCCGCCACGCGAGAAGCGGTGATCGAAACCCGGGGGGCGGAAATGGAAATGGATGCCCTTCCGTGGGGGGAGTGATTTGATGTTTAGCGCAAACACGGGGTGGAGGAAACCACAACCCTTATCGATATTTATATATTGAGAGAGAAACCAGATGTACAAAGTCGATCTCTTTTTGTTTTTGATCCCTACCTCTCCACACCTCGCTTCATAGGGGATGGGATGATGTAAAAAAAATACACCGACTTCTCATGAGCCAAGCACAAAAGCAGAGCAATGATTCCTATGTGGATGATTAGTGTTTGGGGAGGGCAAAGGAGGGGGGGAGGGGGGAGGAATTTTTTTAATTATTTTATCGTGCATGCTCCTCAAGAAAGAGGAAACCCCAAGTGCGCCAACGAGGACGCAGGAGGATGGATGTGGCGAAGTGCGCAACCCAATTCTTGTTGCTGGTTTCTCCCTCTTTTTTCATCTTTTGGTATTGGATTACGGCGTTGAAGGTGAATCAACCCAAAGGAATCTCATAAACAAGTAACTAATTTAAAAAAATCCTAGCTAAAAGGGGGGTGCGTGCGTGTGATTCAAAGACCATCACCACCAACTAAAAACGAGTCGATTCGGACGGTCATTCCCAAAAGGAACGGTTAGTAGATTTCAGACGATTCAGGGGCGACTTTCTTGCTAATTTCTGAGTTTAGAAGCCTATTCCCATATACATACATATCCCTCTATATATACAGGTATATATTTATATTTACTTGGAAACGTGGGGTGTGTGTGTGTGAGCAGTAGAATTCATCCGCGATGCGTATTGAACAGTGTTCGTTTTGTGGCGCCCCCATCTACCCCGGGCATGGTCGGATGTTCGTGCGCAACGACTGCAAGATCTTCCGCTTCTGCGCGAGCAAATGCCAGCGCAACTTCGGCATGAAACGCAACCCGATGAAGGTGCGTTGGACGAAAACCTTCCGTAAGGCGAACGGGAAGGAATTAAGCGTGGATACCACGATGGACTTCGAGCGTCGTCGCCACGTTCCCGTGAAGTACAACCGCGAATTGCTTCACCACACCTTGAAGGTCATGAAGCGCGTGGAGAAGATTAAGGAGCGGCGGCAGGAGGATCTCTGGCGGCATCGCATGCAGCGCGCGCGGTTGCAGGAGAAACGCGAGGCCGCCACCGCGTTGAAGCACAACATCGACTGGATCGAAGACCTTGAGGTGAAACACACCGCGCGGGATGATCTCGTCGCGATTGAGGAGGAAAAGATGGCGAAGAAAGCGCAGCGCCGCGAGGCCGCCCGGAAGCGGCGGCAACAGCAGCGCGAGGCGGAAAAAGCGAGCGGGATGACCTCCTCCGCCACCTCCGCGAAGAAAGGGTAAAAAAATTTGAAAAAAATGACAGGTGGTGGGGGGAGGGGGGAATGGAAAGAAGAAAGAGAGTTGCGGAAAGAGTACGGAAAGGAGGGGGGCTTTGCTTTCTTTTTTTATTATTACTGTGGTGGTGGTGGTGGTTTGCTAGGCTTCGCGGAAGGCTTGAGGAGGCGGGAAGAAGGGCTCCATCGAGGACGTTCGCATCCGCGTTTAGGCTTCGGATTTGGAAGCCCTTCCTCTCCTGTGAAGGGGGAAGGGGGGATAGTTTCAGCGATGCAAAGTTTTTCCCGTCGTCAAGTTGGGCAGCTTGTTGAATCATATGATTTTTATTTTAGTTTCGTTATTAACAACCACGCGTGTTTGTGTGCGTGAGCTAAGTGTAAAATGATCTCGGTTAAGGTGCGTAACTTCGTTACTCTATTGGTTTCCATAAAAAATTCTCTCACAACGCTGTCGTGGATGTGGTTCCTGGTGGATTGTGAATGGTTCCTTCTTGAGCTTCTAAGATGGCTTATCCAATTCTCTTTTTTTCTTTCTTTTTTTCTCCCGTGATTTGTGGGGTGTCTCTGGGTTGTGGACTAAAAAGAGTTGTGGTGGTGCAAAAGAGAGGGGCTACGCGTGGGAAAAATCCTTGTCTTCACCTTATTGCTTTGGTAAAGCCAAATTATCTCTGGTGTAGGTATTGATCGATATATTTCTCTGAAATAGACGACTTTACAGCATCTATTGAGGTCGATTTCAGGTTTTTACCCACCGCCAACCAGTTTTAAGTGATTCTTATTCTTGTTGTCATTGTTGTTGTTGGAAGCATTCCTGATTGCGTGTGTGTGTGTGTGTTTTCCTCACAAGAAAAAAAAAGAAGAAAACCCCCACGATCCTCACACCCACTCCGCAAAATATTACTAAAAGAAAAATAAAAAAATCGTCTTTTTCTATCGCCGTCTCTTCTTGATGCGCGAGCCTGGATGGTCGTTCTCACTCGATCTCAGTTAAGGCGGCAGGCCCTCAACCGCGCGCCCTCCGCGTCCTCCTCCTCTTCGGAAAAACACCCCCGTCCGGACGACGACGACGACGACGACGACCGAAGAGCCGCAACGGAAGGAAGAGAAGCAAGGGAAGGGGGAGGGGTCCCCCCCCCTCCCTCCCGGCGGCGATCCCTTCGCGAATTACTTTTACAGGAAAGCGGCCCGCCGTCGAACGGGGAGCGCCTCGGCCGTGGCTGCCGCATCCCCCGCGAGACGCAATCCCTCGACGAGGAGTACCTCCGCAGCTCCCTCCACGGCGAGAACGGCGTCGGCGGCGGCGGCGGAGGAGGAGGAGGGGGGTATCGCCGCTACCCCCTCCGCGA